GTTATTTATTATATATTTAAATATATTAATAAAATTATTTTATTTAAATACAATACATTTATTATTTGTATTTATTAATACTGTCCATAGCTCTTTTCCCCCATGCTATTTAATGGGAAGAGGGCAGTTTCAGGACATGTAAGAATGCTATAGTCAATATTGAAGGTCCATTTCAAGAATATTTGAGTTGGCTGTCTTCCTTTGAAAGTGGCAGCAGTATGTTGTTCAAATACACTTTTGGAGCAGGCAGGCTGTATGAACTAAACTCTACAAGCAGTCACATATCAGTGTCACAAACTTTATGATCCCCACCATATGACACTGAATCAGCATGGAAGTTTATGAAATGTGCTCCTTAATCCAAAACAACTTATTGTGACAGATGGGGCAACATACAAACTTATTGAATCTATTCCAAGCTTCCAAAGTTCTATAGCAGGATATCTATATCTAGTTTTTCCTGTCCATAGCAATCAGGAGACTTAATGGGTAAGACCTAGCTGCAGAGTTTAAACAGTGTGGCTGCAAGATCTTGTGTTTATTTACCTGGAATTATAAGAGTCTTATTCAGATGGGACTTTTAAACCAGAATCACAGCAGCTAAGCTAATTTGGGTAGTCGCATCTGTCAAGCATTACTTACTAACTATGTGTGCTGTAGTTTGAAAGGCCAGCTCCACAATATTCCCATCATGGTCTGACGCTGCTTGATGAAAGACTGCAAAGATGTTCTTCCAGCCTGAACGAATATTACCAGCTTGAGAGTTCACCATCTGAGCAATACAGCGTATTACCATGTCCCGAATAGTTGGAGATCTTAATAAAAAAAAAAAAGTAAGACTTCCCCAAGCGGTACAATTTTACACTGCCACAAAGTAAATGTGCCACTTCCATTTATACAACAATCTAACCCACACCAAGTAACATCTTTAAGTAGGACTAAAGCCAGCGAACAAATTCCAGTGCATCACACCTGTTTTTCTTCATAATATGCTCAAAAGGCCTTAGGAAGTCTTTCTGGAAGCGGAAGTTGGCTAACTCTCCCTTCTCAAGAAATTTCATTGACAGCTGCCTTAATGAGTCTACTGCAAAGATGGCGACATCTTCATTAGGGTTACATCCAACCTGCAAGAAAAGCATATTTTCAAACATTTACCAGCTTATGTATTACTTACATGAGTAACAAATTCATCATTCAAGTTTCATGTCAGTCCACTAAAAATTACTAGCACATTCCAGTTTTCAGATATTTAGAAGACAGGGGATTACTTTTGGAGAAGGCTTTTTTCTCAGTCATTTGATCCAACTAAACGGACCCATAGATATTGTATGCCACAAGTGCAGAATTGTAATACCCAGCTAGACACCAGAAAAAAAAAAATCTTCAGTTAAAAGAAAAACCCCACCCAAGTATGGTCCAGTTTCCTAAGGAAAATAACTCTGTTGTTCCAGGATCATCTGTATATATTTTAGAGGAAAACTAACTTGGCATTTGATCAGAAAGATAAAGACAATGGCATAAAGAAAAACTACAAATACAAAATCATATAATGAAGTGATTAAAGATCATTCCCATAAATATTTCCATTTCTATTTATATACTTTAGGTTTTTAAATAGGTGTTTCCTTTAGGCACCTTTAATGGATTTTTTTTTTTTTTTAAAATATCACAACCTACACCACGAAGAACATAAAAGGAAAAAGCTGATTAAAGAAGTCCTGCTATTCATGTATGTTTTGTAACTTGATTTTAAGAAATACCTTATTGAAGTGATCTCCAATCACATGCCAAATCCTGGACCACTGCAGCCTAATGCGATTCATGTTGTAATAAGATATCTCCACTATCTTTTGCAGGCTGAACATGCGTGGATGGTGTGGGGAAGCCAGCTCATCCATGGAAACAGCACACAGCCATCGGACAAAGTCAACTGAACATTAAAAAACACTGCTGTAAGTTCAGGACATTACATTGCAAGAGTTCCTGTAACCCACCAAATGGCCGGCATACATACCTATTGCATTTCCATCCAGCCTCGTTGATCCTGTAAATATCCTGTGGAACAAATAAATGAGTTGCAGTTTTAGCTGCGCATCCACAAGAGTCAATCATATCTTAGCGCTGTAGGCAAATTCAGCACATCTCCTGGAAGTACATTACAGTCCTCCATGCCACGAACTCTGCAACTGTTTTATTCTTATTCCTTGGCAGCAGTTCATGTCCTTTTCCTAGTCTAAGCATTCTCTTCCCTGCTGCAAGTCACAGTCTCCTGTGCTCCTTCCCCACTGCAGGGAACAGACACAGGCTCACATTTTTATCCAGGGCAAGTCGTGCTGGAACACCCATTTGGGTGACAGCATGTTAAATTTCATAGGGAGAATAAAAAGACATTAAGAAAGCTTTGCTGCAGGACTTTACTGGATGTCATCCACCTGCCTGATCTTTACAAGATTCAACAATGCTGTAAGTTGTGGCCATCAAAACAGACAGCAGAAAGACTATGGATGCACTATTGTCCCTTCTTCCCCTTCAGTTGTTCAGAGTCTTGAGAGGACTTCAGACCACTGATCGTGGTTCATACAGAACACTGATAAGTAGGGAATGTTCCCAAATCTTTTAGACTTTGATATGGTAATAGACACACTTATGTTACAATAAATACCACAAGTCTGAATATATGATTCTACAGACTCGCCTAATAGTTTCAATAATTATAAAAAAGTCCGCTTCCAACATATGGTTTATGACAGAAGCATCTCTTTAGACAACACTTTAGAAGGTCGGATGAGAAAGATAATGATTTGGACAAGAATGCAGTGACTAATGAATAAGGAGCTGAAGAACAGCAACTAAAGAAATGCTGAAATACTGAAGTTCACAAGACCAAAGAAAATGGCAAGATTTAACGGAATAAGGGCATTTATTACTTTTGGATACCTGTCCTGTTCAGGCTAAACCAAAGAAAAAAAAAAAAGAGGGGAAAGACACCCCAAATATGCAGAATACACACACACAAGTTAGAGACAATTATAAAACAGGTTTATAAAACAAAAATAGCTAAATACTGTAATACCAACCTAATTCTGGTCTTCAACTGGCTTACTCCAAAGAAAAGGCATAAAAACACATGCATACATGCAGTGCCCCTTCTCACAATACACTACATTAGTTATACTGCTATTTAATGACAGTCTTTTTTTGTGAGTATTACATGCCTAAAGAGATATACTTATTGGGTCCAGAGAAAGCATCTAAGTATTAGCATCTTTCTCACAAGAGAAACGGCCTTCGAAAACAAAAGTCCTTGTCAGTCTGCAAATAAAGTGAGGATGGTCAGTAACTTCAACTCACATTTTCCCCAGAACAAGATTATAGTCTCAGTACCTGTCTACTGCTACCACTACACTCTGCGAACTGGTCTCTCCCACAGACTCTTGAATGCTTGCCATATGCCGTTTATCAGCTCCACTTCCAACGAAGTTACCTGCAATAAAAGCCATTAAAAAACAGTATTTAGCATCATGAAATCGTGACTTTATATTAACCCCAACTTTATACAAGTAGACGAAGACAAGTGACTACTGCTTCCGATTATCTTGTAATTTACATGGAGCAGATTATTTCAAAATTAAACATCCACTAAGAAGTATGGTTTTTTTTTCCCTTAGGACATTGCGTTTTGACCACCATGTTTATTAAGTTAAGATGATGTAATACTGTTAATAAAAATTGGAAATGATAAAAATATTATTTTAAAATATTAACTTTAAGTCAGATACAAGTAGTTAATGCTGGGCACAGTTCTGTTATATTCAGCATCATCATCGTGTTTAGCATCAACTCCAGAATATTTTCAGATTAAAAGGTTTCCTTGATGGTCTTCCAAAGATTAAGGCAACTTGCCTTGTCCCTCTAATTTACAGCTTCAAATCTAAGGTTTGTTTCTTATACATAATGTAGGAACAATAGGAACTGGAACAGCAAGTCCAACATCCAGAGATAAGAAATTCCCTTGGAAAACCAATTATCGATCATTGAAACATCCGTTAATTCCTAAAGATAGCTGGCTTATGTTTTTACTATTAAAAACAGAGCGTAAAAAGAAAGAACTGATAACACTGGTAACAAAACCATGACTTAGTAGGTATGCCAAACAGTTCTGACAACAACATGTTCCAGCAAATAAATCTGGAGGAGTTTTGTTAAATAGGTTAACCCAATTACAAAGTTAGAACATATTTGGTAATTACTAATAAATCTTGAAATACAGAGTTTTGTTTTGTGGGGTTTTTTTTTTGGTTTTTGTTTTTGGGTTTTTTTTGAAGTTTCATTAATCCAATATCGCTTCCCCTGGAAGCAAGTAAATATATTTTAATATCTTGTAACATTGAGCTTTCTTACCCATCATACTTCACTTATATGTGTATGTTTGTGAAGTCCAAGATTATTAATCTTACCTAATCCCAGGCCCATAAACTCTTCCCCTCCAGATGCATAGCCTTTAATGCTTCCTTCCCTTTCACGCCCAGAGCCAGATAAATACCGAGTTTTCACTCCAGTTCCTATAAGCTGTGCTAGTTCCAGCTGGCTAATACATTTCAAGATCTAAAACCAAAAGATATTTAAACACTGTGTTACTGGACACCATTATATTTTTATTCCTAACATATATTTATATTTAATATTTATAACCTTACCAGGTTCTCTAACCTTTAAAACAACTTTGACAACAGTAACAGTTTTGATGTAGCTGAAACATTACCAGTCAACTGGAAAAAGTTGAGTGATTCATTCAAGATGACCAGCTGCCATGAATCAGTCCAGTATGAGAAAAAACAAACAGTACCCAAAAATCTGACTTGGATCTCTAACTACTAGAGGAAGCCTTTTCATTACTTCTCACAGCATCAACCTTCAAAACTATAAACAACCTGGAGCTGATCTTCTAGAGAGCACGTCGTCCCAGAGAGATGAAAAGACTGAATTATTGGAGCTACCACTTTGAGTAACGATGTTCCAACGTAGACAGTGAAAATGCCAAAACTGGGCCTTGCCATGAGCACAAAATTAACTATCTCTTCTTTCTTACTCCCCCACCGCAACATACTTTGGACTGGCACAATAATTTGTGAGGGTGTGCTATAAGTCAGTCCAAGTAATTTGTCAGCTAGAGAACCTTTTGGCTCATATTGTCATGTAGCCAAAGACTATTGCCAGAGAACATAATGCAGCAGAAATGCCCCTTTTAGCAGCAGCACGGATTTAGATCTGATTAAAGAGGTCCTGGAAAATATGCTTTAAGAAAATACATATGATCCCAATAGCCTATCCTTACCTATCCCCACCCCCCAAGTTATTTTAGCCCTGATTTTTCATGTGATCATAGTATAAATGTTGCCAAACACCACACAGACAAGTCTGGATCTGTGAGCTAGAATATCTTTGTTTACATGAACAAGAATGCAACCGTTTCTGTGTAGAATTCTCTGAAGTCAAATGAGATTTTAATGTGGTTTTAATTCCATATCAAAAGCGCCTACAAAAATTACAATATTGGTCACACAGTGCCTGTAGGGTCTGCCAAAAAACATACAGTGCATTATTTTATATATATACATACACACACGTATATATAAAAAACCCACTAAAAAATAATGCACTTGCATCCACATTTTAAACAGGGTTCTGACACATGCTGGGAGCTAATGCAGTGATGAAAGACTGAAAGTAGTAGAACAACAAAATCCTGCAAGTTTTCAGAGGACAACTCAGTTGCACTATTTAACCTAATCAAGTTTTTACCTCATGCCAAGAGTTCCCAAGATAGTTGCCATCTGTGTGAGCAACTGTAATCAGTGTCTTAATGGTATCTATGTTCTTCTGTTTCATTTCTGTAATACTGGAACTGGCGGTCAACAAGGAGAAACGAGCAAGGGCCTGTACATAAGCATCTCGTTCAAGCTAAAAGACAGAGAAATGAGCATTGTAATCAAGTCCCTGAAGAGCTAGAGAAAGCTACTTGTCCAGCATGCCTACACAATTTTCCTTCTACGTACAGTTGGCACTATTAGAGCACTTTCCAGCTGAAGGAAAGTAGGAGGCAAGTTAGCAAATGCTCTTGATACAAGACTCAGCAATAAAAGGAAAGCAGAGTTGAAGAAATGCTTGACAAAATCAAGATCTTAAAACAAACTAGAACAAGATGGTAATATTTTATTTTACCATTTCAAGAAAGTGGGTAAGACGCTTCATTTTCTATGTGTAAGTTGTTTGTAATTCTTCATCGCCCTCCCAGACACCACGCTGCCCTTAGCAAGCCCCATGCTAAGTCTGATACAAACCTGCATTCCAAAGATACAGGCTATTCTAATTGCACATCGTATTCCTTCCAAACAAAGGGATGCAACTTCTGTGTCATCACAGTTCTGCAAGCCAACACTGTAAGCTGCCAGCAGTGGAGTCCACACAAGCTAAAGAAAGGAACAAACTGAGTTCACAAGTCTATTACAATTTTAGCCCAAAACACTAGGTAACTGAAACCAAATGTATCCAAAGAGTCTACCTATTGCATTACCCAACTCTTCAGAGTAATTTCCCACTTTTTTTTCCATGCTTAAAACTCTTCACAATGAAGGGACAAGGAGAACTTCACACTCACTTTGAACATGGGTCTGACATGATCCAGATGAGTGGCGCTAGTAAAAGGAGCCTTTGCGTGGCTTACGGCCTCCATGAGGGCTTTAGCTGTTTTAGCCATTTGTTCCATCTCCAAGTTGTACAACAACCTCCGCTGCTTCTCATTAGCTACACCTGAAGGGAACACCACACAGTTGCATTGGTTTCTTTTTTTATAAGAGCATATTCCATGTCTTCATGCTGAACATCATGAAATGTTAAATAAAGGTATTGCAAACGAAAAAGATAAAAAAATCTTCCAGAATGTTAGAATTCAGGAGGCTGTCATAGGCTGCAAGCAAGGAACTCCAGCACTAAAACCGACATCCCAACTTAAGACTATTCTGTACAAAATAACTAATTCAGCCCTTTATTATATGCCACATTATGACCTAATCATTGGAAGCCAGAGAGGCATACTCTATTAAGTCACTCTGCCTGTAAAGATGGATGGAAAACCTTTCATCTTCTTAGGCAGACATCCTCAAAACAAAATTAGCCCTCACCAACTTGATAAGTAAATTAATAACTTAGCGTTTCTTTATCCTTATACTAAAGGTTGCAACTTCAATTTTTAAGCAAATTACTTTCATTCCTATTTTGGTCTAGGAAACCTGCAAACAGCATGGAAAACACTGAAAAAACCCACTATGCTGAAGATTCAGAATTCACTAATTTGCATTAAATTAATACTGGCTATTCTGAGTAAAAGCAGAGCACAGCTGGGGATACTGGTTTCTAGAATACACTACACTCAGAAGTTCTCATTTGGTCTAGATGAGGATAGGCGACCATAGATCATGACAAACTCTCTGATCTCTCTCCAAACGTTATGACAAGGACTGTGGCACTTACCAGCCTCTGAACTATGACATGATAGGGAGGCAAAAAAACAACCCAAACCAAAACCCACCTGTTGTCTAGCACATAAAAACAAGAAGTTAACTTGCAAAATAAGTGCCACCTTCAGTTATTCTACCATTTTCCCCTCACACTTCCGTTTAAAAAAAAACCCCAAATCTAGTTTCTAGTGCCTCTCTGCAGTGGTGCCACATGCACTTAGACAGCTACGTTTCCATCACAGAAGTAGTAGTATTAAGTAATAACTGAGCCAGTTTTGTTCCAAATGTCTATTAGCCATTCTAAATGTAATTTATGTATTGCACAAAGATGTTTTCAAAAAGGGATCTGAACTCCACTATGCCATCCTGAAAGGTACTGCAATAGTTCAAGAGCACTGTGGTGTTTCCAGTTTCTAGTTCCTTCTTACTTGGTTTACTACACTTGGTTGTAATTGCGTATTCTTTTGTCTCTTTCATTGCAATTTTCTTTCCTTCTATTTCTTCATAGATTGTGGATAAATACTCTACTGGCAGGTCTTTACTGTCATTGATTCCTCGATTCATTTTAATGTACTGCTCCTTTGTCATTTTATTTTTTACCTGTAAAAAAGAATGGAAGTTGGATATCAGATTTTGAATGCAAGTTCCAGGGAAATTTGAACTTCTACAAATTTGGTTTTTTATTTGTACCTGTGGACTGTGCAAGTCTGTAGTCAGCATTATAATAGAGTATGCCAAAACATAGGCAGTGTCAGCACTAGCAAACAGTGTTTGCCTAAGGGAGGGGAAAAGAAAAAACAACAGGTTTTTAGATCCGTAATTCCTCAATCCATTAGCTCTATTTCTACATGCAAGAAAAATACCCAGAAGGGCTATGCATTAAATGAGAGACCTAACAGAGCCTAAAATTAGTCTTTAGAAATGCATGAAGCCCCAAGTGTTTTAAAAATGCAAATAAAAAGGGAAAAAGATATAAAAGCATCTTCTTCACAATCTTGAAAACTAGAGATGATTGGAATTTTCAAGTACATTCCCAAAAGATTATACATTATCCTTCTTTGAGTAATCCTACAGAAGCTAAACAGCAGCTTATTTTTCACTCCCACAGTTTCACAAAGAATTATACAAAACCAACACAGTGATGCACCAACAGGACTAAGGAATGGGAACCAATTAAGCCTGAACACATAACTAAACTTCAATGCCAGTCTATTGCATTAGAAGCAATAGCAACGCTGCCTACTTGATGTCAACTAACATATATATATGTATTTTGTTCAACGTCTAATGGGCAAGCAAAAACATGTGTAACATCTTACTAGCTATTTACACCATGTATTTTTAATTTTAGCTATTGCTACTGCTAATTACGGTTGTTCACACTTGATTGACCTACATTTGTTTAAAAACAGAACAGCTAATACAGAGACAATTTAACATGCCTAGGGCTTCCCTCTTCCCATAATTCCTTCTGGTAAATATTTGGGATTTAATGAAATGCCAGCATCAGTATGCTTTCTACCCAAAGTTTCCATTTTGCCTAGCTGCTGACAAGGTTCAGCACCAATATTAGCAACAAGATCTGCTCCTCGCACAAGCTGGCAGAAGTTCCTGACCTGGTATGAGTGTGAGTTGCACCTTGCCCCTAAAGGCCACAAACAACACAGCCATTCTTCAGGCACTTAGCCAATACAAAGGTTTTGAATTACCGTTGGTTGCATTCAATATATCTAGCAGCAAACTTCTCCATTAATCTATCAATCTTCTGGGCTTCACCTGGCAGACGAAAACCTTCCAGAAATATACGTAGAGCAGAGACAAAGTCTTTTCCACAGAAATCAAGCTGGTCTACATAGGCATACATCACTTCCTTGTTAAACTTGTTGCTTTCCCCAAGAAATTCCCCTACTTGAGTCTAAAAACACAAGAGACAGTTATTACTGTGTAATCCAACTGCCAGCTTTGCAAGAAAGTTTATAGTACAAGAATTGCACAGCTGTCAGTTTTGTAAGACTGATACGCTTCACTGAGCGGGCAGAGCAACCGTTAGAGGGATGACAAGAAACCAGTGTCATTAGAAATGCCTTTAGTCTGCATATTCTTGCTTCCCTCACTTCCCAAGGCAAGATCTGCATTACTGTAGAGCCAAGGAAAGCTGGACTGTGCCCAATTTCACATGCAGCAGAGAATGCTTTGCCACTGCAGTACCTGACATTCCTTTGCTGGCAAGATAGCGCTAATGTAGATATTAGATAAAATGCATGTTCCCATTTATGGGGAATCCCTTCAGCACTTTATTGTAAACACAGCTACTTTACTAAAAAGCCTGGGACGGCAAGTAATAAAGCAGCATTGGTATTAAGTACCTTCATCAGAACCCTTACACTTGCAGTTATCTATTAATGAAATATAAACCAAAGAGAGAGGGCATACAGACATCAGAAGACAGGGGAGAAGATGATAGGCGCAAGAGTATTAATTATCTTATGTTGCATGTAGTCTTACAGAACAGAGGCGTTCTTCTTGGTGCAAAAATTGTGCAATGTCCTCTGCTGTAGTGCCAAGCATTCCCTGCTCCTGTAGATATTGTATTCCTCTCTTTGGTTTTTTATTAAACCTATTCAGACAAAAACATGGGGAAACTGAGACAGACAACTGAAAAATATCGCAGCCTATAAAATTTTAGTTTTACAGAGACCTTCTAAACCAAAGATTTTGTGCTGTAGCTCTATATCTTTTTTTCTAGGTAGAAAAAAGTCAAAGAACATGCAACAAATGTATTAACTATAGCACACCATAGCCTACATTTCATAAGGTATATTCAGTTGCTGATAAGCTTAAAAGTTATTGCTAGAAAACTCACTTAAACACTGACCCTTTTGAAATATTAAAAATTAGAGATTTTCCATGAAATGTTAAAAATGTTGCTGTTCAAGATGTTTTTACAGCATTTACAGACATAAAGGTCTTTAAATTAATGAAAAACAAGCAGAGCATAGCTGGACAATGATTTAATTCTCCAAACTCTGTTTCAATAAAAGACAACAAATGCTATAAAAGCTGTAAGACAACATTAAGCCTGCCTGCTCAAATCAATTTCTCTCTAGGTATACCCACACTTTCCTCTCTTGTGTGGCTGAACCAGCACAAAGCAAGCTGTGAAACCACCCTTCACTCCACCCAAGATTTCACTGAATTCCTTTTAGCTACAATAGCCTCCAGCATTAGCTTTTGACAACAGCAGGCAACAGTCTTCAGCATTGAGATCAATTTGTAAGTGCCCCTACAGGTTGGACTGTGTAAGACCATAAGAAACAATACAGTTGTACACATCGGGTTTTTTTTTTTTTTTTACGAGTGAAATTCTATTTTCTTGTCGTACTGGACTTACAGTTCTATCCCATGTTCAATTATTTCCTTTTGTTGCTTAATGACTTCAAATTGCTCAGGATCATCTGGGACAGCAGTCTGGGTACCAACACTTCCAACTCCTGACGACACAGTGGAATCCAAGGAACTGACACTACTCCGTCTCCCTCCACTCTCAAGGCATTTACCTTCAGCCATTTCCTGTTCAGATGGTTTATATGAACCTATTTATAAACAGGGTGAGACTTAAGTTATCCTGTTCAGTCAAAAGCTTGTAGTTATAAAACTTTTTAATAGAGATTTGAGTCAATATTCTTATTTTACCATGTATACTTTTTGGCAGTCTGCACTACATGAAGATGCTATATTGATGCAATTCTAAAATAATCCAACAAAAGGCAGAAGAGCAGCAGCAGCTATGGAGAAATTCTTGCACTTCAACTTAGTAACTGCAAGATTTGTCACGTCTTGTTCTAAGCCAGGTTTTATAGCGTAGACAATGGCCTGGCTAAAGCTCTTAAACAGAGGCTGGTTATCTGAACCAAACACTTAGACAGTTGGTTACTGCAACAACATTAACAATTGTTTGTAAAATACTTCATTTGTATAAACAAACTGTTATATAAAAGCCTAGCATCCACACTTCCAAATAGCTTCCAAACACTGAATAAACACCAGGACAAACTTACTAAACAAATTAGTCTCTCAATAAAGAAACAATCTTACCCAAGCTAGCCTGATGATTGGGGTTCACGTAAAGGTCTTTGCTCCATTCTACCATACATTTTAAAATAGAAACCAAACATTCAAGTCCTTTTTTCCTCAGGCTTAGTTCCTGGAAAAGAAAAAAGAAAAAAAAAAAAAGAAAAACCCCACCAAAAACCCAAACCAATATATATATATGTATATCCACAAGTTTTTAGAAGGCGTTACATCAAAACATTCAAAACTTAGAAAGTTCCTCACAGTTAGGGGGAAATCTATTGGTTATACAAAGTTTCTGCCCCTTGCCTATTCAGGTTGGCTACATCCAGGCCAAAAAGCAACCATAACCAGACTGACAGCAGAACCCATTCCAGCTGCTTTAAGCAGACGGTCTATCGACAACTGGTGAGTACAGCCAAGAGGCACTATACACCAAATCCTAAATGCAGCCCCTTCGTTGTATGAATGATTATGACCATCCAGTAAGCCTCTATAGTGTCAGATATCTCCACAAGCAAGAGAACTGTCCCGCTACCTTAGCTGTACAGTAAACAGTTCTATTCAAAATCTGAAACAAAGGTCTCCTGGTTTTTATTTCCATTTTCTGGTCAAAGGATCATGGGGGGGTGGGGGTGGGGGGAATTATCAAGCAATTATTTATACAACTCTAATCAAAGGTGTCAGCTGCACTCAGTTCTGAGACCAACACTGGCACCAAGTTCACTTCAGCCCTGAAAGCCATTAGGCCAGGCTAGAAAAACAGTGCTATAGGCAAGGCCAACATCAGAAATATCTGCTCTTGCTGAAAGCGGTCTATACTCCACCCTCCCTCTAAGGACTAGGAAATTTAATTTTAAAAATTAAATACTTGTGGTGGAGATACCACATAAAAAGTTTGTGCAAAGCAAACACAAGATGAAGGTATTGCTGGTTCATAAGCCCCAGAAGGAAAGCCATTTGATTAAGGCAGAAGGCAGCTCATTGGATTCTCTCTCCCACAGCAGCCCAACAAAAGAGCCCAGAACAAGCCTAGAGGCACAATGCAAATATGCAGCAAAATCACCAAATAAATTAATTGTACTGCTTCAGCATCCAATTGCAAATTAGCTAACTAATAAAAAAGTAACATCAGTAGGTTACAGACAACACGAACCACCGGAAGTATCAATAACGATGCAGAGACAGCACCATTTATGAAAAAATAGAGCACCATTTATGAAAAAGTAGTACGTTATCTTCAAAGCTGTTTTTCTTACCTGTAAAGGTGTCATTCCCAACTCATGCCCACTTCGTCCCTGTGCGATTTTGGACAAATCATTTACAAGCCGTTCAAATATATTAGCAGCATTTAAATCACAGTCATAGTTAACATAAATATCCACTACACACTGGGCATCTTGAAAATAAAAGAGAATGCAAGTATTAGGATTCAGTGTAATGTCATTTTTAAAAGGAATCAGCCAGCTGGAGCAGGGCATGGGGGTGAATCCAGACATTTAACCCAAGCACTATGGGATCAAATTCAATTTTTCACACTTAAACATTGTATGTGGCATTTGTCTTCAAAATAATTTTCATCTGCTGCCAGAGGAAGTGACTCCTTTTCACAAACAATGGAAATACCTGCACAAATTCTAGTTAAAGTCTGAATCACCATCCATTTGTGTTCAAATGAGCTTGACGAAGTCTCTAGAATATTCAGGAAGATCTCCTTGAAGAACACCTGCAAAATAAATGAGGTAAAGGACTTCATGATCTGAAACTTATTAGAACCATGTCAAATGTACAAATTAATTTCTATTCAGTAATTTCTCTTGAAGAGTATCATCTCATGCATATTAGAATTTGAACACAGTAATATACTAGTTTAGTAAGCAAACAAAACTAAGACATTAACTTCTAAGTTCCAGCTGTTTTTTTATCATTGCAGTATTTTCGAGAACTAAATCATCATACAAACGATAGATAAAAAGTCTCTCACCTCAATCTGCATTTTTAAATGGGTCTTAAAATTCGAAAGCAGCGTGAGAAAGATGGCAAGAGAGAGCTCAAATACATCAGGAACAGAAGAGACTCCATTTTTAGATAATGCTACACAAAGATACTGCTTGATTGCATTGATGAACATTTCATGTGTCCTGAAAACTGGACCAGCATTCTGCAGTACTGAGAGAAGAAGCTGCAGAGACACTATCTTAGAACGCAATTCATGGGATCTAGAAAAAAATGCAACATTAAATATATTTTTATTGTATTTCTGAATACATACTTCTATTCAACATGAGCACTACAGCATTTCTTCAGTGTCAAGAAGAAGTGACTGCCATTTTAATTCATTTCAATGCCAGGGGCAGGAGGGGTGGAAATCAGCCTGCAAGTGATTTTGGACAACATCTACCATCATAATTTGGAGATTTTCCAGGAGTATTAACATCTTAGACTAGGATAATAGATGCAACTCCATGCTATCAAGAAGCATTCCCTCACTCCCCCATTAAAAGCTTCACAAATACTATAGTCAAGGCCACTTCAACTGATAAGATTAATAAGCCCATTATATAAAAGAAACCTCAAGTATTGAATTTTTAATAATTCAAAGCAAGTTTCAATCCTAGATTCATCAAGCTAACTAAAACAAGGGCCTGACAGGTGAATTTTGAATGCTTGCTTTACTATACAGCAGCTACTTAACTGTCTCCAAAAGCTACCTCAAGAGGACAGTGTAATAAATACAGTCTCATTACTTGGGATCTGGTGGTCCATCACCAAGTGGTTTCATGGAGAGCTTGCACAATGACCTGAACACAAGGAAGGCGTCCTTTTGTAGAACGTGGGAAAATCTGGCAGCACCTTGATGTCCAGAAACATCTGTTTCCTTAAGAGCAAGAAACACATTAAATCCTCAGTGAGACAAAAGAACAGAGCAATTAGGAAGATTCCACAGCTCCTCCGAGAATTAGCTACGGATTAAAAAAAAGGTACATCTGGCAAAGTTTAAACTAAACCTAAACAGGACTACAAGTGATCTGGATCTTTTCACACATGTTGACTGACTCCTCCCCTCCACCCGCACCCTGTATTAAAATACAACAAACACAATTTTAGAACAGTTGTTTTCAATATCTACTTAAATTGCAGTTGCTGCTTCCTTTTTGAAGCTGAGCAGGACACATACATTAAAGCTTCTGTCCCTTCCCTCCCCAAAATCCCACTGTATTACCCGGCATTATAAAAACAATTCTCCTTTCCTAAATATACATTAGCATCCAGTCAAGTAATTTACCAGATTATCAGTGGAGGAAACAGATTGCCCATCATCTGGAATCCCATTTGTTTGTACATTTTCATTACTAGAGCCAGAAAGAGCAATATCTGCAGTCTCTAATGCAGGTAGAGCCTTAACTGTTTCTGTTACCTGCTTTTCTTCAGCCACTAAAGGGGAAAAAGGAAAACTGATTAAAATCACCCATTGAGCTTTTTTATCCCATGTCTTCGTGAAGCTCTACAACCAAGTGGGACAGAAGCAGCACTACTTAATAAGAAAGTTTCTCAGCTACCAGCAAAAGAAGAATATTGTGAGACAGTAACAACCCATTCTCACTGCCTTAGTAGGTGTTCTTGGTGAGATACTTAGTAACAAAAAATAACTTCCATAATCACAGGAATAAAAGTTTGGCAATACATATGCATCTATTTTACATCAGAAGATTTTGCTACCTTTCACAGCTGACATGACCACATCTTCCAAGATGCCTTTAACCATTTCCTTTCCTCCATCAGTTGTTTCCTCTAATGAAACACACAAAGAAATGATTTTGAATTTAGTACTTTTGTTTAGGAAGAAGTTTAAAAGGAGAAACACGACAGAGGCAGAAGGATTAAAAGTCAGATTTTCTTTAGTAGTTCTCCTCTAAAGCCATTTCCAAGAAGTCACACAAAAATAATCATTGATGTTATTTCCATTATTTAAAGCAAAGCACCGATATTTGTAATGCAGTAATTTTGACAATTGTATTTATCAACTGTTACAAACTTTCAGTTTTGGAATACCCTACATTCCTAATTTGGATATAGTATATGCTTATGATAAGGTCTTCATAATACACATTATTTTTAACACAAGACTTCAATTTCCTCAAAGTGATTCTGTCAGTTCCCACGTACTGTGATTATTCTCTCCCTTTCCTTCCGCTTTATCAACCTAAGCAAGTCAAATTCCATTATAATTCTATATACGTAAACTATATATAGTTTTACTAGAATTCTAGGGAAAACATGAGCCTTTCTTCAATGGTTATAATGTTGTAGATATGAGCTAAGGATGGCCTGTATACTCTGAATAACTACTGAGAAACTCCAAGCATGATTTGAGCCAATAACCCCAGTCACTTCTCCCCAAAACAGCCTAAAAGAACATTTTCCAATAGAATCTTCTGATTCTCTCCCCCATCCCACCAGGGGAGAGCGAGCAAGTGGCGGTGTGGTGCTTAGCTGCCAGCTGGGATTTAACCACAACATAACTGAAAGCAACAGACACGACCTATTCTTGTTCACCTGATGCTGAAGGAGTCAGATCCTGCTCCAACTTCATGCCTCCATTTTCTGCCCTCTCAGGCTCACCATTCGTTAATTCCACACTTACAGGAGCAGTGGGTTCCTGAGAGCTGTGCTTTAACTGACCAATCTTTGGAGACCTGGCCACCACTTGAACTGCAGGAGATTTTTGCTGATTTGTTTTTTCTACTTCTCTGGATTCTTGTATCTTGAAAAACCAATACGAAAAAGTTAATCTAAGGCACAAAACATATTAAGGGAAAACAGATGTCTATGATGACTGATGTTGCTATGTGAATTCACGTGTTAACAAGAAAAAAAAAAAACCACAGTGAAAATATAATCACTTGGCCAGTCAAATTAATAAGATGTCCTTCAAGCTCATTTTAAAAGCATCCTGTCATCTGTTTATACAGCGCCATTTGGCAGAAACTACAGTGTGAAACCTTGTTATCAGCAATAAGCTTCATATTTTATTTTTAATCAGTCAGTATGCTTCACTGCAGGATTTGACAGGTTTTTTTAAAATTACAAATCAACAGATACCCAATTACAATGACAAACCCATTGAAAATAATAATAAAAAAGTTGTCTGTTCATTTGTCAAGCCTAAACATTCAAGATGAGCAAAAGTAAGTTACATACAGCTTGATTTTCCATCCGTGTAAAAATGACATTTAACATCTGCGTAAGGGTAGCTTTGGCAGTTGTCTGGTTAATAAGATTTTTACTGGCCAGATAGATGTTGTAACAGGTTCTAACAGTCTGAAGAATTGTTCCTTCATGAATTTCTATATACGGAGATGTTACTGCAGTGAGGAGAGCCTGAAAAAGTCCATAACACAGTAAAAAATGAAATCTAAGCAAGTAGGCAGCAATACACTTCATGCAGGTCTTCCATAATAATCAGTGGGTTTGTTATGAAACACATATATCTGTTTATAAGATGTCATAAGGAACTTCTAGTTGTCTGAAATTACATTTCAAATCAAAGAAAGTAACAGAACTTCCACAGATCTCTGTTCTCTCCTGAGCTGTTAAAGTGTTACATCACAATAGTTTTCCGCTAAGGGAGATACTCCACCTCCAAATGGAATAGTTATCACTATATTCTATAGCTTCATTTCTGTGAAGGAGCCAGTTGGTCTACACTGCCATCAGACTAGACTACTAACTTCACTAACTTCTAAGCTCAGCTATGTCAGCCCAAGTAGATTCCAGAACCACCACCGGTACTACTATGCCTTGTTGAGAACATATACTGCAGATCTCTCTGAAAAATGGACGCAAAAGCAGACAGGCTGGAGCAGCAGGCCATGATACTGCATCACAGTTACAGTGCCTTCAGTTGAAGGCTGACAGCAATTCATTGGCCTAACGAATGTGGGCATTACTAGCCTAGAAGATGAACATCGAGCTGTCTGCAAGATAAAGTATCCAGGCCATGGCTCATCTCAGACAGACAGACAAACATTTATAAAGTATTCCCTCATGTTCTGCTTCACCAAGAGGAAATACATTTCACGTACCAATTCTGACCTGGTGACAGCCTCCCTAAATTCAATGACACATCTAACAGTGTAAGAAATGGAGAATCTGGGCCCTAAGTAGTGATTTGCGTTACATTTTTTTCACTTACAAAATCAAAGACAGAGAAAGCAAATTAATATTGCACCAAAGTGAACCAAATAAGATACCTTAATTATCTGCAGTTGTACTCCTTCATCCGTTTGAGGACCCTGAAAGCAATTGCAAATGGTTTCAACTATTCGGTCAATCAGTCGTTTTCCAGGAGCTCCACTGTCTGGAGCATTGCCAGTGATATGTCCATATGCAATGAGTTTCTAGGTAGAAAGAATGCAGGTTAGACAACTATATAGTGTTAAGTAAAATACAGTTAAGTACAGCATAAAAAGGGGAGTTTAGACAGCATACCTCACTTAACCAGTTTTAACACAAAAATTTAACACCATCAATAGCCTGGCTACCAAATACTTGGACTGTTCACATATCTAGACAAAACAGATTTAGTAAGTGATAACACAAGCTTTTTCCACCCAGATCATTTCTTCCTTCTGTAACCAGACAAAATTTTTTAACATCAATCTCTGTACCTATTCACAGCAGAAAGGTTCTGCCCTTAAGTTGCATTTGTTTTTTCTGTAAGAATCTAAAGAGGAACAAGGTAGAAGGAGTCCGGAGTCTGACCTCCCATCACATCAGCACTACAAGAAACACCATGGCAAATATTCCTTTTAGAGCACCACAGACGAAACGTCTTTACTGAATAATGTAAGCATTCATGAGGTTCAATAAAGGCTTACTTCACTATAAAACACCACACACATTTCTGGCTTCAACAAGATGCACTTTCAGCCAAGTCTGACAATAACCTATTTCGCACAGTTTATGCATCTAGGTAGCCACAGTGGTATCTGCACAGCTGTACGTACTCAGGACAGTGTTACTTCTTCACTCTAAGAATGCCAACAGCACACAAGATTTTTGTAACTGCATGTTTCTCCATTTCGCTCCGTCCAAGTTTAAACAGAATGCTTACCTGTAAACAATCCAGCGAAGTACTGACAATGCGTGGAGACTTTGACTGGCAGGCCAGTTCAAACGGAAGGAAATACTTATCTGCTTCAATGAAGTTTGCTTTTGGTGGAGCAGCGGTGCCTTCTCTAGGTCAGTTAAGAAGAGTTATTAATTTTCCTAAACATATCACAGCAAACTACACTTCCTCCTTTTCTAAATTTAAAGCTGAACAGCACATAGCAGCATACAAATGTAATGCAAGTTTCTCTCACACATACTTTCGTAAAGAAAGTTCAATTTTCTTAAAAAAAAAAAATCACACAAAAACCACTTTACATTTATTTATATTTCATCTGATCTTCTTCATATATTCTCCAATTTAACTCTTCCCTCGCTACACCCCAACACTGTCCCACTACCTGAAATACTGGGGAACTCCTACACAACTTGATGATAAATCTATCAAAGTTATTCTGAATTAAACAGGGCCCACATGAGGAATACTAAGCAAAGAGAAACACATTTGGGGGCTCATTTTAAATCACAGCACAGTGCTGGAAAAGAGTTTTAAAATTTGGATTTAAGTAACACTTAAATTGGTATTCTCGATCTGGGTAGTTAAGAGCACATACTATCAAAGAGAGGATACCTGCTACTCTTTATGATTTCCTATCAAGCTATATTAAGCCCAGTAAAAGGAAGTGAAAAACGAGCACCTTTTAGAAGTTTTGCAATTTCTTCACAGTGAAATTCAGAGGCAGTTAAGGCTTGAGTACCCATAGCCACAAACATTGTGTAATTTGAACACACAGGCCATATGTTTTTGGCAGAAAGGTGTGTAACTGGGTATTCACAAACTTTTTGCCATAATGTACATAGACTCCTACATTTCCACTATCAAATTATTCTACTTGCTGTTTTCTGGCATCATTTACAGCAATTAATAATTTACCTTTGCTTTTCCAGCTCCGTTTTTATTTCATCTGGAAGAAAGAAAAAAAAATTCAAAGCATTTAACACCCAACATAAGTTATCGTTATTGATAACACAAATAAGGAAAATGTAATAAAGCAAAGCTGCTTCAAACCAGAAGTCTTACACTTCAGTATTTGCTATTCCTTTCCTGTAATATCTTCAGCTTCAGAGATCAGAGACAGTTACACCATTTACTTGAAGGCATATCTCTCAACTTCTACATGAGAAAGCTAATTTTTTCCAAACATTCTTAACGAAAGACATCTTTAGAAAACACAGGTATAGTATGCAATTTTTATTCAAGAGGAAGTCTACATCATAGAGAGCTCAGGTATGGAGAAGTCTTTAAGCCACTGCATAAACCATTAGTTCAATGCGTCTGACCTTCCTGTTAACTACAACGCTAGTTAGCCTGCTTTTGTTAAACCTCACAACATGACATCAGCCAAACAAACCAACTCCCAAGAGATAAGAAATCTTAAATGCATGCTGTCATTTGGCCAGAGCTTTTTTTTCTTTTTAAAAAAAAAAAGAAATTACACTTTTAGGGAGCTTTTCATAAAATTAAATACAGGAAGAAAAATTTTCTCTCTCATTTCTACTGTATACAGCAGCAAATCCCAAAGATCCTAGTATGGCTTTTGAGGGTTTCTAACATATCACTGCGATGCACAATACAGACCAGAACTGCAGTACACCAGACACAGCACAAGCACATACTGTGAACACTGACAAAAAAAAATACCAAAAATAGCACACGCAGTAAGGCTGTACAGCTACAATCATTTGTAACACCACATGGAATCCTGTCCATCCCACCCTATCTCACACGCCTGCAAATCATCATGCCAACAAAACTTGCTTCAACTGCAAAGTTACCAGAAACAGACCATACACTCCATCAGTACTTAGAACCACAGAATCACAGAATCGTTTAGGTTGGAAAAGACCTTTAAGATCATCCAGTCCAACCATTAACCTACACTACCAAGTCCACACTAAACCAGTCAAGGGTAGACTAGACTAGACCATGTCCCCAAGTGCCACATCTGCCCGTTTTTTGAACGCTTCCAGGGATAGTTCTCCACAACTCTGGAGAGGCACCACTGTTTGGGGTTAGATGTCCAGATAATTTCAATGCTGCCTGTGAACCTCAGTAATTTCTTCTCTCAGAAGCATCAATACACAAAACATACTAACTAACAAGGACTGCAACAAAAACATATTACAGGCTTTTGCACAGTGCTACAGTTCAATGAACATTCCAAGAACTAATCCTTGCAGAGTATGCCTATTTTGTAACATTACTACCCCTATTTTACAGAGAAAATGGAAGCAAAACGTAGAGGAAACTTGCATAACTACAAGCTGTGAGTGATAAGCTACATCCAGGATTGGGACTTGCTATTCTGTCTGCCATACTCTCTCATTAATGAAAGGCAACATAGTCAGCAGTCAAGAAAGACACAGTATGACATCCATTAGCAATAAATGATATAACAAGAACTGAACAAGCATTATCCATCCTATAGTCACCAAAAGAACAGACAACAGAAAAACGAAGAGTCACAGGCCCACAGTGTCATGGCTCTATTCAGAAGCCCACCATTTTCTCATCAAGACAATCATGCAAACAACCATGCCCAGTAGTTTTAAAGGAGAGACAATTTTCGTTTGCCAATATTGCACAAGCCAGCGGCAACGCAACGAGCCGAGCCAAGCGCATAGCCCCAGTGCCCGGGATTTTAGATTTAGAAGTAGCTTTGCAGCTATGTGACAGCACAAACCCAGCATCATCATCCCCTAATACTTGAGGCTTCAGCTGGTAAGGAGAGTCAACAGAATGGAGACTGTTGATAAGAAATAACCGAGGTTTCCCATGCCAAAAAGACAGGCAATGTAAATCTTAACATAGCACCGCTTCTTGGATCACCGTTTTCTTCATTCCAGTATCCAGTTGGTTTATCAACAAGATGGAAATTCAATTCAGCAAAATTTGAATTCAGCCCTCTTGATTTTATTAATTACCCCATCTTTAACACCACATTATGATCCACAGAGCTACTGAGAACAACATACACTAAAGGACCCACCAATTTATTGTGTCTCTAGATCTGTCCTATTATTAAAGCGTACTCCTGTCGCCTACAGGAGCTGGCTGCTTAAAACAGAGTCTTCTGGGTAGCTTTACACATTCAGAACCCTTAGTCCTGCCTCCCGGTCTTGGCAGAGAAAGGCGTATTTTAGCTACAGCCAGAATCCCAAGCACAGCAGGATGGCAGCAGGGGGGTCAGCTATATTAATACTGAATATTGTATATTAATGCTGTATTTCAGAAACCTTGCAGAACTCGGGTTTATGGGGGGGGGGGGGCCATTTTTTGGTTTTTAACAGTTGCAAAACCTCAATACATTCTGAACTAAGTTTATTTTTCCAAACCAGAAAGACTGCACGAGTTAGCCACGTGGTCCTCCTTGCACTAAAAATGATAATTTGCCTAGTTTGGAAATAAGAGGCTTTTTGATAATGATTTGATAATGTTTTGGTCAAGTCAGACTAGACACCTTTTGAATACTCACTCACAGTATTCTATAGCACATGAAATTTTTTCTTTTCCATTGGCAAATCAATAAAGTGAATATCATCAGAGATACAGTAAAAAAAAATATATATTTGATATCTCTAGCTCAGTGAATGTGTTTTCTTTAGGGGTTTTCTTGTTTGCACACTTGCCCTCTTCCCACTCCTCCTCAACAGCTGCCACTTCAGCAGTTGTGGACAAGCCTAACTTTTGTGATCTCTGAGCTGAAACTGAAACCTGTTCAGTGTCCGCTAGTCTGGCCAGCATATTACTCAAAACTTGTCTCAGTTCATCCAGTTCAATTTTGGCATCCTTCTTCCCACTGCGCCCAGCTGCTGGCAGAAGGAAAGCTGGAGGTCATACACACCATCTTCATCCTGTCATACTGTTTTGTGGGAGGTGGACAGGGAGGCCTTGTTGAGGGGGGCCCCTTGGAGGGGGGCAGGGGTCCAAAATAGAAATTCCTCACCTAAAAATTGTTTGTTAAAAAAAAGTTCAAACTACAGTAGGAATATTATAGCAACGAGTCCACCCAAGGAAATATAAAAGTTATTTTGTAAAGTTTAATACCACACAAGACAAAGAAGGTTCATTGCTAGGATGTATTATTCTCAGCTACAGAAGTGCTCACTTCCACATTTATTGTGTAACCAAGCAATGCTATTTTTTTCCAAATCTGCATATTCTACTGAAATAGTTCATGTTTCTTTCAGAGAGATCGCTTTGCCCCCATACTGTTTACTAGCAAAGCAGCATAGCAAAAGAAGTTTTGAATCGAAACTCCACAAAGATTTTAGCCTTAAGGAGACATGATCATGCCCATCTTTACTTACAGTTATATTAGATCTTGCACTGGAAAAATGTAACACTGGCATCCCATATTAGAGCAATGACAATTTCACTCTCACAAATACTCTATAAATTTAAAAAAAAAAAATCTAACCAAGGCCTGACCAAGTTCCACACAATTTTATTATATAAAGATTTTTCTAAAGCCATATAAAAACATCTGCACCACAACAGTATTTTAATAAATAATGCTGGCAGAAAAGAATAAATGAAAGGCCAAAATCAAGTTAAGGGCATGCCTCTGCTACGGATTGCATCAAAATAGTTTGGAAATCTCCATATTTGAAGCACTCATTTGGTGGTCTGCCCACCAAAAGTGAGCGAAAGAGAAGTTGTTGCCTAATTGAAGTCTGTTGCCATGATCAGCTTGCCAAGCCCCAGCCAGGCACAGCCACCTTCCACAAACCTACTGCCACTGCCACCCTCCTCTCCCGGTCACAGGATTAAGGGGTGCAGCTCAATTTCCTTCCACAGCTACAGAACACAGTCTGAATTTTGGTCAATGTCTGGTCATCACGGCACAACGCTGACCCCTCACTTGGCGCTTTCGGTACTAGAGCTACCTGCTACTTCCAAGGCCGGAACGTATCGGCATACATCACACCTACTTCAGTCAGGAACATCTTCAACTCCGGGCACTATCCGTGCTGCCCACTCAACGCAAGCCTTGGACTCACAGAATAGCTGAGGTTGGCAGGGACCTCTGGAGATCTGCTAGGCCAACAAGCTTGCTCAGGACTGTGCCCAGTCAGCTTTTGAAAATCTCCACAGATGGAGACTCCACAGTGCTGAGCAACCTGTTCCACTGTTCAATCACCCCGGTAGTGTAAAAAAAAAAAAAAATTTTTTTAAATTCTTACATTTAAAAAAAAAGTCTTGTACTTCAGTTTGTTTCCATTGCCTCTTGTCCTGTCACTGGAAATCACAGAGAAGAGTCTGGCTGCTTCTCCTTTACTCCCTACCATCAGGAAGGGATAAGATCCCCCTAAGCCCCCTCTTCTCCAGACGGAACAGTCCCACCTCTCTCAGCCTGTCCTCGTGTGAGATGCTCCAGTCACTTCCAGCATTCCTCCCTGGCAGCACAACTGGAACAACAGGGGAGGCCTTGCAGCAGTTTCTTCCAGAGCTTCTGGCCATAATAAAACCAGGATGAAGCTCATGCTGAGAGTAACTACTGTTCTATATTAGATGGATGTTTAAGCTGGCTTGTATTGAAAACTATATATTAAAATGGAAGAAATAATTGTCTGCCTGCAATTAGATGAATCCTATGTTAATGTACAGTCAAGTTTGCCTCAGTGGAAGCTAACTATTTCCTGTGCAGCAAATGGCATGGCTTGTGTTAGCACAAGGACACAAGCAATGTCTTTCCATAGCTTGTCAGAACACCAGCCAGCAGTGCCAATACAAACACATGGAGCAGCAGCAAAAGCTTCCCTCCCCCCAGCCCAGTGAAGTCTACTGCATTGCCTAATTCCAGGCTGCCTTAAATCAAAAAAACCCAGCACCCCACATTCATTGATTCCATCGATCTGTAAAGAGCCCTTTAGAAAAGGCTGCCACAATGAAG